TGGAGCTCGGGTGCTCATGGTGGTGACACGGAGAGCGGAGGACGATGGTTGTGCGAGGTGGTTGGGTCGTGCACTGTGGCCACTAGGGCCAAGTATCAAAGGGCATTTTTTAGTCCTTTTCCTTTTTTTAAATTTCGGTTTTATATTTTGTCCTCTGTTTTGTTTTTTGTTTTCGATCAAAATAAATTTTGTTACATAAGAAACTTGTCTTATAAATATTTTGTAATATTGTGGAACTATCCACAGGGTTTTAGATTACCATTGAAAGGTTTTAATTTCAGTTTGAATTGAAATGGGCCACTAAGTGTTGTTTGCTCAAATCAAAAATAGATAAGGGCCATTTTGAAGTTTCAAATGATAGTGATTCCAACATGTAAATTTATCAGGGGAATTCATACTAAAGTTCGAACATTTTAGTCTTATAGTTTGAAGAGAGAAAAATTGACTTGTCTTTTAAATTTGATTTTGAGTTTGATTTTTAACCAAGTGCCCATTTAACTTGGCAAATCATGGTGACATGGCATCATTAGCGGGAGATTATTGTAGCATGATTCTCGGAATGTTACAAATCTCCTCCACTACAAGAAATCTCGTCCCGAGATTTAAGAGGTGGAGTAAGGGGGAAAGTTTTGGTTACGATATTCTAATGGATCTTCTCAATCTTGGTTGCTCTACCCGAAGTAGTTGATCCACTTTGTTGACGTCTTTATTTCTTTTTTCCAGGTCATCATGATGAAGTCATCATCCTTACTTCGGGGTTTTCATCATATTTAGGAATAATTAAGGGGCATCTCGACAACGATAGAACGCCATAATGGTAATCATTTGGTTTAACCCATGAATGAACATATGAGTATCTCTCGAGTTGGAACTCAGGAAATACATTGAGAGAATTAAAAGTAGGACGAGAATTTTCAAGCGGGTACGCAAATGTTCGATGCGTGAAACAGAGTGTGAAAGGGGTTCATAGCAACAAGAATAAGTATTGTGTCTGATACCATAATAGATCACTAGGAAGGTAGCCCGTAAATTACATATGAAATCCAACACGGGGAATAACTTTGACAACAGGGGTGTACAGGAGAGTCAGGTTTGGATCCTGTGGAACTGTGGGTTATGGCCCCACCATGGGTTAAAAGTAGAAAGGGCGCTGACATCTTGTACGGTCATGATAGCAAGGCATGTCAGAGGATAGAACTGTCAGTTATGTTGGCAACAATGTTGGTACCAATGGCGAGGGATGAGGAGAAACGTTTTCTTGCTCGTTGAACAAGGCGGACTAATAGGCAAAGTTCTGGTCCATTGGTGGTTACCGAAATGTCATCAAAAATAGTAACAGGGTTATACTTGACAGGGTTGTACACCGAGGTGTTTACATAAGCAGGGAATTATCACTGCTCAGATAAGATAGGTTACAAGAAAGGTTAAACAAAACAATGGAAAGGAAAAAGTGATTATCAAATTTAACCAGAACAATGGAAAGAAAAATGTGTATACACGAGTATTAGGTGTATCTCCTTTTCAAGGACAAGCAGAGATTGATATACACAATAAGACAACAAGTAGATAACCATTTGGGTAAAGGGGCGGCGAAACTCATCATGTTACCCATACTGTGGCGTTTGGATAATTGGGCAAGAAAAAATTCATTGTGCTTCAGCTGTTCTTCTTGATGATCGGAGTACCACAGACATGCTTCGAGATAGCATTGACATGGTCATTGGGTAAAGATTAGACTTTGGATGAAAAAAGATCCATCAGGAACAACTTATATAATATGTCTTACAATTCCCTCATGGAAGAATGGCTAACCTTGCTAAAAAAGGAAACTATAACAATAGATCCTCCGGCCAGGTGTGCTAGGCATGACATCACCTTACCGGGTCATATAAAGACCAACATCATAACTCTTGGAAATATGTTCCAACCACCATATCTGATCAAGATTCAGATCCGATTGGTTTCAGGATTCAGATCCAATTTGCGATGAGGATGGTCAAGTAGTCATCCAGGGCTACATGAGTACACGGGCATCGTCCGTGGCCAGAATCCGTTGGCTGGATGGAGCACGGGTGCTCAAGGTGGTGGCACGGAGGGGGGGCGATAGTTGTGCGAGGTAGTTGGGTCATGCACCGTGACCACTAGGGCCCAGTAGCGAAGTGCAATTTGTAGTCCTTTTCCATTTTTTTAAAATTTTCGATTTTATATTTGGTCCTCTATTTTGTATTTTGTTTTCAATCCAAATAAATTTTGTTACATAAGAAACTTGTCTCATAAATATTTTGCAATATTGTGGAACTATCCACAGGGTTTTAGATTATTTTTGAAAGGTTTTAATTTCAGTTTGAATCTAAATGGGTCACTAAGTGTTGTTTGCTCAAATAAAAAATAGATAAGGGTCATTTTGAAATTTCAAAGGATGGTGGTTCCAACATGAAAATTGATTAGGGGAATTTATACTAAAATTCGAACATTTTAGTCTTATAGTTTGAAAAATAAACAATTGCCTTGTCCTTTAAATTTGATTTTGAGTTTGTTTTTTTAATAAAGTGTCCATTTAACTTAGCAAATCAGGGTGACATGGCATCATTAGGGGGATATTATTGTAGCATGATTCTCGGGATGTTACAAAAATCGTGTTAAAATTTTAGCTTGATCGGAATTACGGATCTTCGGATATTTAAGAAATGATGTTCTGCCAGAAAACAGGAACTCGAAACAAAGAGAAAAACATGTAGATATCCAATCTAGGGAGGCTCCCGCCCCTCGGGGGCCATGGCGGCTAAGAACCAGAGAGGGAATCCTTCTCCCATCTAGGGAGAAGGCCAAGAAAGAAGAAGGGGGGACCTCTCCCCCTCTCTCCTGTGGTGCCGAAGCGCGCCGAGGGGATCATCATGACAGCGATGTACATCAACAACTTCACTGTCGTCATCACCATCACCTTCCCCCATCTATACTCAACAGTCCACTCTCTCACAACCTGTTGTACCCCTACTTGAACATGACGTTTTATGCTACATATTATTATTCAATGATGTGTAGCCATCCTATGATGTTTGAGTAGATTCTTTTTGTCCTATGGGTTGATTGATGATCTTGATTGGTTTGAGTTGCATGTTTTATTTTGGTGTTGTTGTATGGTGCCTTCCGTGCGGCACAAGTGTGGCATTCCCGCTATAAGGTGTTGCAATATATTCAAAATTTACTTACTGACTGAGTGCATGGGTGACAAAAACACAAACTCGGGTAAGTAGATTTTTGTCTATGAGATTAAAGAGGACTTTACACTTAAGACTATGGTTGGTTTTACCTTAATGATCTCTAGTAGTTGCGGATGCTTTCTAGATTTTCAGTCATAAGTTTATGTGATCCAAGTACAAAAAGTGTGTTAGCTTATGCCTCTCCCTAATATAAAATTGCAATAATGATTACCGATTTTGTTATCAATTGCCTAGGAGAATTTCGCAAATCCTACCACCACTTTTCCACAAGTTTTTTTCATATGCTCTTTTCTTCTTCTTTACTTTTTGTACTTTTCCTTATACTTAAAATATTGTGCGGGAGGCCACGACCTTTTTTTTGTTCTCTCTTATTTCTTTATTTTTGTATTTTTCTTTATACATAAAATATTTACTAACCCATTTTCTATATAAATTTTAAAAAAATGTTGAACAAGTATTTGAAAAATATTGAACTAAAATTTGAAAATGTTGATGAAGTATTAAAAATGTTGAACAAGTATTTGATAAATGTTGAATAAGTATTGAAAAGGTTGAATGGGTATATGAAAAACGTTGACTAAGTATTTGAAAATGTTGAACAAGTATTTGAAAAATATTGAGTAAATATTTAAAAGTGTTGAACGAGTATTTAAAAAATGTTGAACAAGTAAATAAAAAATGTTAAATAAGCATTCAGACAATGTTGAAAGTTTATACAAAAAATGTTGATCACTTAATAAAAAAAGTTTTTGACATGTACAAAAATGTAAGAGTGAAAGCGAAAACAAACATCAGAAAAAACAAAAAATGGAGAAGAAAAAAGAAAACCAAACAAAAAATGAAGAAGAAAAAAACCAAACAAAAAAGAAGGAAAACTAAGAAAACCCTGTCAAAAACCGAAAGGAAAAAATTAAAAAAAAAACATGAAAACTTATGGAAAAACCAGCTTATTACACTCCTAGTCCTAACCACGTGCGAGACATGGGCGCAGTGGCTAGTAGAGCGAGCCACCGCCCAGCAGACAAGGGATTGATCCCCACTTCTCCCATATCTTCTCTTTTTCATTTAACTGTGCATGAAAAATGGGCCGGCCCAATTACTGCACTCTTCAGCGAGAGTTCCTACGTTCTCGCGCTTAGTGCGAGAAATAGTCGGCGCGCTAGTACCACACATGCCCAGCATTCCCACCCACCTCTAAGAAAAACATGCCTTCGTTTTCCATGTTTGCTAGCGCCACTCTTGCCCTATAGTGCCAGTGCGGAAGCAAAGAAAAATTCCAAACTCTGTGCTGTACTAAAATGTAGAAAGCGTGCAGAGCTCGAAACAAAACAAAAGAACACGTAGAAAGTCAATCGCGTGTGTGGAAGTACTCGCCCATGGATACTCCGTATCATTATTTGGTCAAACAAGGACAGCTCCTACACTAGCGGTGTCTTGTGGCTCGTGTGACCATTATTTTCCACGCCAATTGAATGGCATTGAGTATTGGATGGAGATGGATCCAGTACGTGTCGCACGCTTTATCTACACAATTGGGCAATGTAGTCACCTATACATATCTTAGAAATCATATCTACTACAATAACATGCACATGTGTTTATTACGCAAGAGCATTTTATTCATGCACGACTTTATTACACTCGTCCATCGAATACATCCATTTCCGGCTTACATGTGCATACGAATGTATGCATCCAATTGCACTTATTTTGATATATAAGATCGGATAGACATAGACTTATTCTTGTCTGTGTGCTGGAGACCTCTTCCATGGTCGCTCATGGGCAGAAGATGACCTGGTAGTTGGTGCCGCCGGGGCAGGTGAAGATGCTGGTGGCATCGTCCTTAGGGTAGCTGTAGGCGTCGGAGCACTGCCCCTTGAAGAACCTCGAGTAGTTGGTCGGCCCGCAGTTGTTCGCTGCCGACCCGGTGCAGCAGTACCTGTCCTCCTTGAACACCGTGCACGCGTTGTTGCACCCTCCGGCGGCCCGCAGCTCGTTGGGGCACTGCGGCGCGATCACCCGGGGGCACCGCGGCCCGCCCTTGGGGCACCCGGGGGAGCCGGGGACGGGGATGAATGACATGGGCACGTTGAACCCGTCGATCAGGGAGATGTCGAAGAAGTCCTGGCCCATGTACTTGTTGAGCCCGAACTCGGCCTGCGTGTTGGGCGCCTGCCCGTACTGCATGCACTGTAGCTTCCCGCCGCAGTCCCCCGTCTGGCACCGCCCGTTGCCCGCGCCGTCGAAGCTGCACCCCGTGCGCGCCCACACGCGGCCGCTACAAAGGAGACATGTAAAACAAGTAAAACACAGCCAATTACTTGAAAATCTGGGAAAGCAAGCTCATCACGAGTCAAACGATCATATTACACACAGCACAACACATGGGAATATGGCAAGCATACCACTGTCCACAAACTTGACTTTGGCGGAAATTTCAGAGACACGACCATCATATAGAAGCCATAGTGGAACATACAAAATATAGCCACAGAGAGATTTTTCTTCTAACCAGCCAATAAGTAATTTAAACTACAATAGGCCCAAGCTCCCTTTTGACCATATTTAAACTGACTACATATTTTCTTTGTATGAGGAACCTTTCTAATTAACATAATGGTAAAACAGAGAAAGAAGTATGATGACAACACATGAACTAGTATAACATACAAAATCCAGAAACAAAATATACAAGATAGAGAATTTTTGCTACCATCAAGTTGGCAACAAAATGTTCCATAATGGCCAAAGTGAGGGACTTCCATTCTTGAAAAACCCAGATGTACTCCCCCCGTCCCATAATATAAGAGCATTGGAGTACTTAATTCCAACCAGTCAGGCCTATAAACCGAAAGCAACCACCGTCACAGAATCAATAACAGCTCGATGGCCGGCACACAGCGAAACCAAAGCTCAAAGGGTAGGTCTCACAGCAAACAAAGGAGGAGGAAGAGACTAGGGACTCACCTGAGTAGTGATAGCCGGGAAGGCGGTCGTGTGAGTCGACGCCGAGGTTACATGGCAAAAACCTGGCTGTCTCGTCGGTGCCGTAAGCAGGGCGGCAGACCACCGTCACTAGAGAGCTGCAGGCCGCGCCAACAAGAGCTCAGGTCTGAGTTTGTACTCGGGCCACTACAAAGAAATGCAAAGGAGTAGCTAGTCAGATTACAAATATCAACTCATGGTGGTTATCTTAGAAGTAAAAGTACTTTCTGCTGACAGTGAATTGACTGACAAAAACATGGCTGTTGGAACATTAGAAATAGATGTTTGGGCTTCCAGTAATACGGAGTTCATCCAACTGCTTAGTTATGCAACAAAACATTGTCACGAAAACAGAATAAACATCAACACCAGGATCAACCTACTCCGAGCAGGGCGGCACAAGGCAGGAGGAACATCCTACATTACCCAAAAGTACATAGTAAGCAAACAAAGTAAGCATCTGATTCCGATTTCGCCAGGAAATCATGCTTCAGAACAAGCAAACAACAAACAATGCATTGGGGTAGTGGATGAACAACGTTCTTAGTTCAACTTAGTAGCATGACTAATGGCAAAGATAAACTACAGCCAAATAAGCTGATAATTCTCTCAGTGCATCAAGGATAACTCAAAGGGATTTGCAAGAAAACATCAACGACAAATAAACTGATTCTTGCAGCCAGCATGGTCAAAATTGAGCAAACAACATCAAAATGAGCACAAGCATCACCTCTCCGTTCAGTGGACAAACAGTTCAGTTAATCAGTGATGTCCTTCTTTCAGGACCAAAAAGAAATCAGTGGTGTTGGCCTTGAGCCACTAACTAGCAACAACGCAAGAGGTGATCCTCCCTTATGTTAAAATATATCATCGTCCAATCAAAGCTAGAAATGACCAAGGTTGCGCACGGGTTATTACCTATCTCTAAAAGGCACACCACATTTTGTATTTTTGAATTACTTATACTTGGTAGAAAAAAGCATGGACTCAAACTAGAGCATCTGATGTACAAATGAACCTCATTATTTTTATTATGAAACCCACACTACTACAAGATCAAAAACAGTACTCCCTCTGATCCATATTAATTGACTTTGTACTACATCAACGTCAATTAATATGGACCCGAGGGAGTAGCATAATATTGATCACACAGCTACTGCACCAGTGACAAACCGCTTAGTTCTGCGACGAAAATAACTGAAGTAGCATGGCATTAATGCACCAGATTTCAGAATTCAACATAGACCACTGCTTATAATAACTCAACATAGATAAAAAAACTAACGCACCAGGTTCCGGTGATAACTCAACTCTTCTGAACACTCTACTTTATGAACATATTTGAAGACTTTGGAAAGATTCACAAAGCAAACAAACTATATGTATGGCTGTACCTAGCTAGTTAACTAGTTCAACACCCATCCTCCTCGACAGGCTTGGTGATCACACAAACTTGCATACAAAAACAAGTTAAGGCAGCCAAACAACAACATGTCCATCAATCAGGCCCTGGCCGCAAACAACCCACACAACCTGAACATCACATTCAGTGGGCAAACCAAAACGACAAAGCTCATATGTGGAAAATTTAGCTTATAACCTAAGCACGACGACCTACATAGCAAGGCCATGCCACAACGGTAACTGAGTCGTTTTACTAGGTAAGAGAAACCATTAGCTAGCAGTTAGCACATGATTTACCAAGAGGCATCAAAGCCAAACCCAAAACATATGCAACCATGGCAGCATGGCGGCGAGTGAACTGGAACTAACAGAGGGGGAGTGAGACGGGCCACCTTGGTTGATAGTGATGAAGTTGACCTTGAACCCCCACGTAGCAACAGCTTCTCCTTGGCCGGCCCTCTTCACACAAGCAGTAAAACAATGGCCAGCACTAGTATACATACTAGCTTAGTCCATCTACTACAGGGAAAAGAACAAAGAATAGTTGGCTGTAGGTAACTTGCAAGTTACAGTATTTTTTTTGTAGTAAACTTGAAGCATTCGTCTTCGCCGGAAAAAATGCAAATCTCATGTGACCCTACTACTTCACTTCTCAAAACTTGAGACTGATATTAACATACACATATGAAGCAATGGTCATTGAAAGTGACAAATTAAGCAAGCTCAGGTTTCATTGTTCCTGAGAAAACTGCTCCAAAGAGAGAAGAACATGCACTGATAAGTGACCTAATAAATGAACAGGCATACATGTACTGCTTCCTATAGGAGAATCATTTCTACACTTTGTTTTATGTTTTCGCACAGCACAACACGGAAAACAAAGAAAAATGAATCCAAACAAGTAAACCACTACACAGCCAACTTACCAACATCAGTTCTTATAAACAATTGACATTTAATTCAAAGTGATACTAGTACAGAACTGGATAAAATGGATGTCATTTTTGTACAAAGTCCACGAATGTCATCGATATATCATCCCTTGTAGCAACAAGAAAATTCTCCTAGTACTCATTTTAGAGTAGGGAAACAAGCTAATGACAGATGAGGAAAAATCCCATGATGATCTGACACAATGAAAGTTTAAAAACAAGAAAGGACATATAATGGCTTCCCTTGCCCAGTTTCTTAAGCCTACATACATTTAGCACTAAATTACTTTCCAAAAGCGTACAGCAGAAGACACATATTTCTAATCTGGACACAACAGTTAATAGATATCATCTTTTCTATGACACAAGAGCAACATCTTCAAATTAATTATTCCTTTTGCTAATTAGACTCCAGCACACAAGCACAACAACCACAAACAGAAATACAAATAGAATATTAAACTTATTTAAGAGAGCCATTTGACTCCTCATGGGTGTCCTGGTTCACCGAGTATGTAATTACCTTGGAAATAGTCTACGCATAATTGCACAGCTCCATAGGTTGTCTAGATGCAAGTGAAACAGTCAAGTTTTGAGTGCCAACAAACACAGTTGGCTGCAATTGTTCTGCAGCATGCAAGTCACGAGTCAGAAAATGAACAAGGTCGGAGGAAACATCATCTCTCCCAAATATAATTGCTCAATCAGTTACTAGTTTGGTTTAGACACAACTAGTGAACCAACTATAACTAGAACTGAAACTTATAATGATATACTCCCTCCGTAAAGAAATATAAGAGCGTTTAGATCAGTAGTGATCTAAACGCTCTTATATTTCTTCACAGAGGGAGTATATGACAACCATGTACCAAATCTGCACAAGATCAATGTAGTTGTCTACCATGTAATTTGTTGGACTAAAAGAACAAGTACTCAAACCAGCCCCAATATTTGTTTTAGCAATGAGACAATCAAAGGCCAATCAAACATTCTCCCCACACCATATACAGTACGTAACAAAGCACCGTTTATCTTCTAAAACTAGACACTCAAGAGATGGCAAGCACTATAGCAACATCATTGTACGCAACCAACAGCAGCAACTCAATGAAGCTCGCTACATCATTGCACAAGATTATTTGTAGGTTCGATAGTTGACTGGACACTGTTCTTCGATTGAGCTGATACAAAACTGTGGTGGACCGCCTAGGACCACGTCTACCAAATCATGTGGTACTACTATTGCTAAACATAGCACGCGTAGTTGAAAGACAAAAACTAAAGATACCAAATATATTTATCAATGTGAACAAACTAATTGGCATACTGCTCCATGGGCACAAACAAGTCCAAACTAATATCATTATTTATTTTCAGAATAAGATGCAAAAATATCAGCCTCTACTTTCAATCAAGATAAAAAAAATATCAACCTCTAGCAAGACATGGTTGATCATCTTGCTGCTGAGAGCCACAAGTAGGGATTCACGATAGTTGCAATCATGACCCTGCTTGAGACTAACATTAACACACACATATGAAGCAGTGGTCATTTAAAGTAACAAATTATGCAAGCTCAGGTTTCTTTGTTCCTGAGTAAACCTAAGAGAGAAGAACATGCACTGTTAAATCACCTAAAAGATGGCTAATAAAAGAACAGGCATACATGTACTGCTAGCTAGAGGAGCATCATTCCTGCATTTTGATTCATGTTTTCACACAGCACAACACATAAAACAAGAAAACTGAATCCAAACAAAGAAACCACTACACACAACATCAGTTCTTGTAACCAACTGATATTTCACATCAAAGTGATAATAGTCCAGAACAGGAATGCCATTGATATATCATCCCCTATAGCAACAAGAAAATTCTGCTAGTACCTATTTAGAATAGGGAAGCAAGCTAATGACAAATCTGGGAATATCTAGTGATGATCCGACACAATGACAGCAAGAAAGGACATATAATTAATGGCTTCCCTTTCTCAGTTTCTTAAGCCTACATACATTTAGCATTGTGAATACTTTCCGAAAGTGCACAACACAAGACACATATTTCTAATCTGGACACAACAGTTAATATAAATCATCTTTTCTATGACACAACAGCAACATCTTAAAGTTAATTATTCATGTAGCTAATTAGACTAGCACACAAGATCAACAACCATAAACTGAAATACAAATAGCATATTAAACTAATTTAAGAGAGACATTCGACTCCTCATGGGTGT